GCCGAAACCCCTAATAATAATATAGTACAGTCAGTACACTCACAATAGTCAATACCACTTAGTGGGGAGTGTCTAGTCCCCAGTAAATGTTAGCACAGTAAATAGTCCATAACAGTATCACACATCCTTCAAGACTGTCCCAGATTCAACGCTTTCAGGCAAAACCTTTGGCCAAAAGAGACACTTGTGGAAGTCAAACTTTACGGGCCGCTTAGTGAATTACAAAAGACAGTGAAATTCATACTAGAGACAGCTTTGCAGATATAGACAATTTATTTCATGCGAACGAAAGAAGAAGAAGAAGTATCACCCATCCCAATTGCACTGCAGGTTGTTTTGTAACCGTAGGGCATCTCAGTTTAACCGTTGAACTGGGTTTCTGGTGGGACTTGTACCGAGCTGTTTTATTAATAGTATCACATGAGATGATAATCCTACAAAATGAAAAAAAAATTAGTATTTGTGTATTACTGTTAGGGCTGTACCGAAGATTCGCTTTGTATTCACTTCGGGGCCAAATAGTGGACCTAATAACTATTCGGTATTCGGCCGAATAGTTGCGGTTGGGCCGAATACGAATAGTGGTTACCTTACACCTATTTCTGCATACACTGCGATGTACTGAAATAACTCTCATTAACACAATAGGTGCAGAAGGTACAGAATAGCGACATTCGAGTTATCAATGAAACACAGCCCTCTATCCCATAGACACTGACCCACTGGACTGGTGGAAAATAAACATGTCAAGATTTCCCACCTTAGTTCATACTGTCAAGCTTTATCTTTGTGCACGACCTTCGAGCGTACCAAGTGTCTATTTAGTACAGCTGGAAATATCTTCAGTGAGATGAGAAGCTGCCTTAATGCTGACAACATGGAACGATTAGTTTTGTTGAAAGCTAATGCCGCTTTCATGCATTAACTAAGCTGTCAGTGACATTTTACAAGTTTAGTTACTTGTTATAAAACTAAGAATACTTTCATTCCTAGTTATTAGTTACCATAGACTGACTGACTGAAGGATGCCAAACATAAAATGTTTATGTTTACTATTCCGTACTACATTTTGTGAAGTAAAATTTCAGCGTACATTTGACATTATGAATGTTTTTTTAGATCTATTTTATACAACATACACTATTCGAAAGTGGAAGGATGGTCCTCAGTTTGAATAGTAGAAAGACAGAAGTAATGGTGGTATCAAAGAAAAAAATTATACCTAAATGTGTAATAAATTCAGTCGTGTTATTTGGGGACAAGTACAGAAATTTAAGTATCTGGGCACTTGGATAACATCAGATAGAAGATGCATTACTGAAATAAGAAACAGAAAAGGACAGGCAAAAACTGCACTTTATAAAATGAAGAACATCTTATGCAATATATCTTTGTCATTGAAGGTTAGAAAAAGCTTGCTTGCTACATCCATCCAGTTTTAACATATGGCTGTGAGTCCTGGACAATCGGTAGGCAGGCCAAACAATTTCTTGAGGCCTCAGAGATGTGGTTTTACAGAACAATGCTTAAAATACATTTGACAGCCAGAAAAGGCAACCAAGACTTTTTGAATGAGGCGGAAGACCGAAGACAACTAATCATAGACATCAGAAGGAGACAGTCCTCATTTTTCGGCCATGTTATGAGAAGAGGGAAAATGGAACATGTGGTGACCATTGGAAAGATTTGTAAAAGGAGGGATAGAGTAAGACAATGAGAAAAGATTATTGACAGTCTTGTTGCATGGCATGGAGGTGTGTCAGCACACGAACTAATACATGCTGCAGGAGATCACAGATTGTGGCTAGACATAATCGCCCATGCCCCTCAGCTAGGCACCTGATGATGAAGATACACTATTCGTATTCGGCCGAAAAGTTGGTCCCGCAATTGGTATTCGCCTGAATAGTGACAAATCACTATTCAGTACAGCCCTAATGACTGTTATTAATATTATTATATCCAGCAAAAATTAGAGTAAGATCCAAAGAATATCACAGATTAGAAGAACAGTAGACGAGGCTATCTGTCAAGAAATCAGATAAAAACTAAACTTATTAAATTATTCAGTAAATTAGTTGAAGACAGTTGAGATTATCAGATCATCTTATGAGATGAAATAAACCTGATGAAAGCATACAGAAACCCACCTGCACTGAACTACAGGTTACTTCGACACTGTCCATCTGCCCTAATATAACTGTTTTATGATTGAATAAGGAGTGGATAGTGCCCCGTGCTGTCATGCTGGAAACCCTTGTTCAATCCTCGATCAGGTATGGAGTATTTTTCTATTAGGGCAAACATAAAAATCCATGTGGCCCTAAAACCTCAGGCTGCCACAGTTGGTAAGTACAGGCACTAAATACAGACAGATGGGGTTGAATTTGTTTTCTGGGATTTGTAGTTGTTGGATTCTAATTTAAATAGCTTCTCTTCATCCCATGTGGGTTCTAGGGCCCCATTGTGGGGACAAACAAGAATAGACCCACTGCCTGCGCAACAAGCATGTCAAAAGAGTCGATTAATTTGGAGATTTCTTTGAAGAGTGCATTTGCCTGAGAGGCAAGGAACCAACAATATACATACAGTTAAATCAGATCTGTTAAACGGATATAGTGCCCCGTGCTGTCATGCTGGAAACCCTTGTTCAATCCTCGATCAGGTATGGAGTATTTTTCTATTAGGGCAAACATAAAAATCCATGTGGCCCTAAAACCTCAGGCTGCCACAGTTGGTAAGTACAGGCACTAAATACAGACAGATGGGGTTGAATTTGTTTTCTGGGATTTGTAGTTGTTGGATTCTAATTTAAATAGCTTCTCTTCATCCCATGTGGGTTCTAGGGCCCCATTGTGGGGACAAACAAGAATAGACCCACTGCCTGCGCAACAAGCATGTCAAAAGAGTCGATTAATTTGGAGATTTCTTTGAAGAGTGCATTTGCCTGAGAGGCAAGGAACCAACAATATACATACAGTTAAATCAGATCTGTTAAACGGATATGCATGCAACACAAACTCAGGTTCTGGAACAAAATAAAGGAAGATCAGTGTATACAACACATTAGAAAGAGCAAACAGAAGATCCTCACCCCCCCCCCCCCCCCCCCCTTCTTTTACTGGCACATGGATATGAAACAGAAAATGCTGTACACACTTTACCAGCAGCTGATTGTTTCCATGATGGAGTATATTCTGGGACTGTTAGCATTATCTTATACTCAGAGAAGTTGAAACACATGCACAATTAGGCCATACTAGTCATTTTGGGATGTGCCAATCGTGTACATGCAGCATATGCTTGTATTGCCATCTATATATGAAAGATTCAAAGCTTTACAGGTGAAAATATACCTTAGAATCACAACAGACAATGGATACCTTCTGCTTGAGGCCTAAGGGGATAGCAAGGGACATCAACTGAAAAGAGGTGGCTCTTGGATGGTCAAGCAGAAGTAACTAAAAGAAATGTTTGTGCTGCTGACAAGATAGCATATGATGAGGAATGCTACTGACAAGATAGCATATGATGAGGAATGGATCACAGTGTTGTCCAGCAAAACAACCATTGCAAAGAGTGATAGTTACTTTGAATTGAGGATGCTGTGAATGGATGAGTAGAGTAAGTTGGAATGGGTGAAAGAGTCAGTGGTGGAAGAGCTGATCAATGAAAATTCATGCCCAGGGGATGTCATTATATATGCAGATAGTTCTGAAGCTAGAGATAAGAAGAATGATTGGGATTTTATGTCAAAGGTGAATGAACACTGTTTGAAAAAAGAGAGACTCACTTTCAACATTACTACATCCGCTAAGAGAATAGAGGTTGATGCAGTAATGGCAGCTCTCTGATGGCTTGAGAGCAGCTCGGTCCGACATGCTTTGAAAAATTGAAACTGGCATTCTCTGCTCCCAATGTCTTGGGTCACTTGATAAGACTCAGATAAGGAGCATATCATGGAATTTCTATCCAGGACCTTCAGGTGTGTACAAGATTATGTGCAGGTGTGTACGAGGTGATGTGCAGGTGTGTACGAGGTGATGTGCAGGCTGATAGAATTAGCTACTGCCACTCCTCTGGACAGTGAGCTACTTTGTGGTAAAGCGGCTATGGTGAAGGTCTCTTGGATTGAAATGGACAGCACAATAGAAAGACAGAGAATCCATACATTAAAAGACTAATTTAACATGGTAAAGGGCGTGGGGGAGGGGGGGGGGGGGTTAAAGGTCCCGAAGATATTCAACACTAAGGCTGAAAAATAGGTGGACTTTTAATCAGGTTACAACAACTGGTACTGTTTGCATGTTGACACTTTGTTGGTTTCTGTTTGCATGTTGACACTTTGTTAGCTACTGTTTGCATGTTGACACTTTGTTAGCTACTGTTAGCATGTTGACACTTTGTTGGCTACTGTTTGCATATTGACACTTTGTTGGCTACTGTTTGCATGTTGACACTTTGTTGGCTACTGTTTGCATGTTGACACTTTGTTGGCTACTGTTTGCATGTTGACACTTTGTTGGCTACTGTTAGCACGTTGACACTTTGTTGGCTACTGTTTGCATGTTGACACTTTGTTGGCTACTGTTAGCATGTTGACACTTTGTTGGCTACTGTTAACATGTTGACACTTTGTTGCCTACTGTTAGCATGTTGACACTTTGTTGGCTACTGTTTGCATGTTGACACTTTGCTGGCTACTGTTAGCATGTTGACACTTTGTTGGCTACTGTTAGCATGTTGACACTTTGTTGGCTACTGTTAGCATGTTGACACTTTGTTGGCTACTGTTAGCATGTTGACACTTTGTTGGCTACTGAAGAAAGGGACTAAGAAGTACAGGGAGTTCCCAAGGGCAGTGATGTCACTTCTGATGCACCATTCTTTCATTGATTCATTCATTCATTCATTCTCTTTATCACTGTGTCGGTTTCAGAACTGGCAGCACATTTATAATCTAGTTGTACAGCCAAGATGATTCCTCTACTCTAAGAAGAATGTATTTGATAAAATCCTCATGGGGCTGTACGAACTTTAGAAGGTTTACAAAGAGCTGCTACTTCAGGTGGGCAAGTTCAACAAGTGCTTCACGTGCAGCCAATAGAGTCGTGCTGATCTCAACTTCAGACAGTATTTACGAGAACTTAGCACTGGAGGAGTGGATGTACGAGAAGACAGATTTCTCCGACACAGATTATCTGTTGATGTGGAGAAATAAACCAGCAGTTGTTTTTGGCCGACATCAGAATCCATGGCTAGAAGTCAATATCCCTTTGGCATCCACGGATGGTGTGGATATAGCCAGAAGGTAAGAGTGGGGAATTTTGTTTATCATCTGATTGACAGTACTTTTGTTGTCTGGAATGTTTTTGCTATTGCTTTATTTCATTATGTTTTTACACACACTGTGATATTGCAAACACTGTCATGTATAAACACATATTGTTCACAAGCTGTCATCAGTAACACATTGTATTACACAAGCTCAAACAAAACGAAAACAAAAAAGTAGAAACTAACAGTGTCAACAAATGCATTGAACAACATGAAAAATATACATTGAGAAAGATAGTTAATATTACCACATGGGCGAAAAAAAGAAACAAAAAACAGAATATACCCACTGCTCCCAGCAAACATGTTGAGACGACAAATTAAGTGTTTGAAATTGGATGTATTGGGCTGAAAGGTGCGGATATCGTTTCCTGGCTGTAAACTAGAACACAACTTGCAAACCACTCTTTTTTTTTTTTTGGCTTTTTTTTTGAGTTAACTCAGAAGAAGAGGAGGATGAAGAAGATAAATGATAAATTGAGATTTAGGAAAATCAAATACACACACACACACACACTTTATATATATATATGTAATGACAGAAACCAAGGTGGAGCCAGGAATCTTTTCTGGCAGGACGCAATGGTACGCAGTACTGCCACCATTTTCCAGACATAATTTTTTTCAGTAAAGTTGTAATAGATGCTTTGTGATGAGTACCGGCACTTTTAAATTCTAGAGTAAAAGCCCTCGGTAAAGCAATCACCAGCGTGCATTCTTGTAAATCCAGTCCTGGGGAATGAAAAGAGAGTGGATGGAAGAATCAAGAGACCATAAAATATATTGAGCTTATTAAAGGACATGACATTCTTGTGAAATCCATTTTGAAGACACTTAAGCAAGAAGTAGACTATGATACAAGTGGCTCAGTAACTTCAAGAGGTCAGACAACAGTCTGTCAGTATATGCTCTGAGAGCCAGAGATAGAAAGTTTTTGAGATCCAATGTGGAAAAGATAAAGACATCCCAAGGCAGATATTTTAATTTCTGTGTGAATATGTTAGGCCTGTAAGGTGGTGAGTGCCATTCCACATCGCCTTTTCCTTTCCATAAAAATTTAGTAATCGAATGGTTCAGACATGCATCAAGACTACCACTACTGAGAGCCCTGTCACTTAGACACATTAGAATCAGAGTTGGATAGATGGATATCTGAGGCCATAAATACCAGCCTCTACGGAGCACATACTAAGGCTCTCTTCTGATGCTGACAGGCAGAACAAGACTAGGAAGGTAGGTAGTTGTACCCCACCAGGACATCACCCAAGTGATAAACACCTGGTGACACAAAGTGCCACCATGCGGATGAGAATCACCATGGAGAGGTCCCAGAAACCCCATTCAGCTGTTGGGCCATATCTATGGCTAGGCCATATCTATGCCCTGGCTATATTCAGGGCCCTGGGAAGAAGCCAGGGTGGGGCTTCAAATAACACAAAAATTGCATCCCACATGGGGATGACGATTATAAAAAAGAGGACTTGTGCAGAAGAAGAAGAAGAAGGATTCCATGCAATTCTGAAATTATGTGGTAACTATTTTGTTTAACCCTGAGTTGACCTCAGAGCTATACTGACTGGAACAGTGAATCCTGCCCTGTTGAACTATGATCACTGACCTGTTAACTTAATGCACTAACGACACTTTACTGCAGATCATCTTTACATAGAGATAACAGGAATTCTGACTGTTTTTGTGAAATCTTGTAGAAATCAAAACTGTTAACAATGAAGCAGGAAATCAGATTTTTTTTTTTAAACTTGGGGATCTCCATGGCGAAGTGTCAGGCTATTTGCCTCAGATTCTAAAGGTCATGGATTTGTTTTTGGGCAGTTTTACATAGATTCTTAGTGATTGTCACTAAAGCTACAGAGTTTGTGCTTTGGGTGGCATCCTCAGCTGGTGGCCAGACACACTGCTGAGAGAGACTGAGTCATTTGTGATAAAACCCAGTGTAATGAAGTTGAGTTACAAGTGGATCAGTCTCAGTTATGATGGTTTGGACATGTATGCATGATGGGAGAGAACTGGCCAGCACAGCGCACATGGGAGGCCAAGAACCAGGGAACTAAAATTCCAGGGTGACCTAGTGTCCGCTGGAAAGACAACATCCAACAGTCCATGACTGACAGAGGACTGGAATGGAGCAGAGCCAAACAAAAAAAGGCAGAGAGAGAGAAAAGTCTGATGAGCTCTCAGGGAAACCTCTGCACGCCATGGTAGAAGAGAAGCGATTAAGTAATGAAGTCGATCCTCTCATTTTTAAACCCATCAACATCTTTTTTTAAAAACAGATGTAGTGGAGGGGGAACAGTCTACCATGATGAAGGAAATCTCAATTTGTCTTTTCTGAAATCCCGTCTCCGGTACAATCGGAAGGAAAACCTTCACCTTGTCGTGGATGCTGTGAAGACAAGGTGGGATCTGGATTTGATCGTTAACGATCGTGATGATATCTTGTTGGACCATTTCTATAAAGTAAGTAAAGATTGTTTACATTAGAAAAGACAGGGGGAAAAGCTGTATTATTCATGGTGAATGACAGTTTATGCATTGGTGGGGAGAGAATTGTTGAATGGAACAAAAATCAGAGGAGAGAGAGAAACAATCTTTTCTTCAACACACTGTTGAAATAACACCCAAAAACTTGGAGGAAAAAACCCAGTAATGGAGGCTTTAATTTAGGAAAGAGAGGCAGGGGCAGAACTGCCAATGGTGGGCACAAGTCAGAAATGTTTTTTCATCTCTCCTTTCACAAAGATTTTTTTTCCACGTCTACAGCCCAGCTATGTGTCTTTTGTTTTTCCAACTCTGTATCCAGCATTTGAATCTATGCAGAAGAACAAGCAGCCTGAAACTTCTCAGTAAACTAAATTTGGATTTGTTATTAAATTTCCATTTCTTGCGCATAGTCGAGAGTTGTCTTATATTCTTAGATAAAGTCGGGAGATGTGAACCAGCGTCACTGCACACGGTTGTAAATCATAAGTGCTCTGCCACCAGTATGGACAGCCGATAAGAAACTGTCTACAACTCTGTAGCTGCAGCGACGTTCCTCCATTTCCCCAAAACGTTAACTCTGGTACCCATTTCCTAGAAAAATATAGAATAATAAGATCCCTTTTCATGCCTTTCAGGCGAATTGGGTGAATGGGAAGAGCACCTATATTTTTACAGACTAATTGGCACTAGGTGGGTAATCTGATCAGCATAACGCCAGCCGTCTTTACTTCCCCAGGACATACATCCTGGTAACAATTTTAGGCTGGGTACGCCCCATACCATGATAAAAATCCATGCAGCCAGCAATAGGTTTTGACTGCAGTACGTTTAAATTACGAGTTGGACTCCTAAACCACGGACACAACCTATTTCCTAGAGGCTGGGTGAACCCGGGAACCACCCGGTTTCAAACACTGGCTGTGGGCTGCAGCGAGTCACAGCTGGATTTGAAAGCGAGTCTCCTATTGACTGTGCTAACTTGGCCCCTTTTTGTATACTTATAAATTCTTGCTAGTGTTTAGTTGTGCTATTTTCTTGCTGGTTGGGCTCACTGGCTGTTAACTCTGACAGAAAGTTCTGGTTGTTCATTCACTTCTGGACTTTGGTTTTGTTCCAAGACTTAGGTTTTGTATGCACATCTATTTTACAGATCTGACTTCTTTGTGTGCAGACTGTTGGTTCATTGACGCAGGCAGATGTGCTCTGGAAACGTTGATCCTATCTAAGTTGGCCAGATACCTGGTTCAAAACCTATTTTTCTAGGATAACCCCAGAGATATTCAGATAGATCTTAGGCAGTATAAGCCGTGATCCTGGTGCACTACCATGTGTGTGGATATAGCAGTCTCTTGTGTACACAATTTTCTTTCTGTTGCCAAGAGAGTTATCCACTTCTTCTTCTTTTGTTGTCTCACTGACTCTGTTGTAGCCCAGTGACGTGGCTCTTGCGCTTCTCAGGTGGCTTGAGTGATGGATTAATTCATCTTTTTGCAGGTATCAGCCTCACCATATATCTTTCTTGGTCTCCCTCTTGCCTTCCTGCCAGATATTCTGCTGGGAAAAGTCTCATATGCAGTCTGGCTTGGCTGCATTCTCACTAGATGGCCAAACCATTTTATTCTTTGTCTATCAATATAAACCAGACATGGTCTTATTCCAACTGTCTCCCTGATGCTGTCATTTGTAACCATGTCTCTTTCTGTGTTGTTAGTGACCTTGCAAAGACAATGCATTTCACATGTAGTTATTTTCTGTTCTAGCGCTTTATTTATTAGTTATTCAGTGTGTTCATTGATGGTTCTTTCTTTCACCAGGTCTCAGGAACAGCAGCCAAACTGGGGCGGACCCAGAGTTTTCACCACTTCACTTTGTTGTTTGATGTGGATACATCCCGACTGAGCAGACTTTTGGATTCTCCTATGGTATTACATTTTTCAAATATCTTGAAAAAGACACACGAAACTCGTGGTAGGAGCTCATGCAACAGTCTGGAACCAGTGTTGTTCTAATCTCCAGTTTCCTTAGCTTACTCTGCAAACTGATATGAGTTTCCCTCATCTTTTTCTTCATTTCATTTGTCCGACTGACATAATTTAATTGCATTATGCCGGTTTATAGAAAACTGCGATGTTTGCACCCTTCAGCCAACACAATGCTGTTTCCAACATGGACTGTGGGGCTGATGAGATCAGCTTGATGTGATGTCACCACTGGGCTAACGATACCTCCCATTTTCACTCTGACAGTCCTGGTTTTTTTTTTTTGTGTGTTCCCGGCGGTCGCATGAGTGATCATCACACATAAATTTATAAAAATAAGCTCGAGGTATATACACATATACAAACTAAAAAGAAAAACCAGAGAAAAACATTTTAATTAATTAGTATGATGTATATAGTTAATAGGCTTTTATAATCTTATCTTCCTAAAATGTATTAGTTCCTTCATTAAAAGTAATAATAATAAATTCTGGAATTTTTGTTAGAGGGATGGGTGTGAAGTGGGGACTGACTAAATCAGACGTAAGAAAATGTTTCACGCAAACTGCACTGGTTTTTCCAGGTGTCCTATTTTTCATTGAAACTGATTTTAGCCATTTTTTCTCTTAACATATATCCACTGCAAGTATCATAATTCAATAATTTGAGGTACTGAACCCTTCACAGGTAAAGTTAATAACTGTAGTGATGCTAAAAATAGATATAGTGTAAGGGGTTTGACTGGTTGGCAGAACTGGGTAAGTCTCTAGATTGAGAGGCATAAAGTCGACTTGAGAATGGCGAAACACCAAATTGTGTGAGCTCACCTGGGAAATTGAGGTCTGGGGGGAACAGCTGACTAGGAAGTCATTCTTTGACAGGACCCCAGAGAGATAAGAATGAAAGTTAATCCAGGGTAAAATGGAGTGAACGTTGATACTGAATGGCAAGGAGTGAAAGCTGTGAAGTGGTTGTAGCACAACCATATTGAAGTACAGCTGAGGACAATAAAGGTGTCCTTCTCACTGCCTGGATGGCGTAAGTGTTAGGCTGTAATGTTAATTCTTGTCACTTATGTGGTGTTGTGAATAAATATGGAATTGAAGCTAACCCCCGTCGACTGTCATTTGGAGACGTTTGGTAGTTTGTCAGAAGAGAAGTCTACCTCACCTGATCTGTGAACCTGACTCCTAGACAACAGTCTATGTTGCTTGTGCATGAGCAAGAGCTAGTACAATAACACTTAACAACTTACAGCAGTTTTTTTTTTTCTTCTGAAAATGTAAATTGAAAGCAAGGTAACTAACTACACATGTAAAAATGACAGGTCCACTTCACTCGGAAAAACTACACTTTTTGTTCGCCCTTGATTCAAAGCTGACTGGAAGAGCGTCTTGGCCCATCCTGGAGATGGCCTTGGTTGACATATCCAACTTTGTTTCCTGGAAACATGATGTGACCTAATTTGTGTAATGTCCTCTCTATCCCTTTATCTACTTGTGTTCTTCTAAAGAACCCATCTAGGGTAACCTTGTGTAGACTCCTCAGGGGAAGACAGGGGCAGATCATGGGCATTCTCTGCCATCTAAGGAGGCTTCCATAAAAGAGCTGACAGATGACACTCTGCTCCTGGGCTCCTCCAAGGAATTGTCACATGCTGCACCCTGTGGAGATCATCAGGGAGTAACCCCCAGGTCCAGTACTGTAACCAGCACTCAAATGGGTACATTTTTTTTGTTTTTACAGACTATGTAAAGAATCATTTATTTACTTGCTAGCTTGCTGGCACCTTTCCATCTTTCCAGATGATAGTGTTACTTTGTTCTATAGGGGAGCATGAGAATCACTGCCCATGGTAATGGTGAGCACGACTAGCAAGACCCGCTCACATTAAAAATAGTCTTCCACAGTTATACCAGGGAATTTCAGGAACATTGTTGCGACTCCATGCGTTTAATGTGCTTCTTCTCTGTTCTGAGATGCTCAGCTGTTAACCTGTCTGCAGTCATTTTTCTCCATACTTCCTACTCCCTTTCTAATGTACCCCCTTAATGCAACACAGTTCATGTCATTCTGTTCCCACAAATCTAGCTCAATACCTGTTCATTCATGTCCTATATGCATAGATTTTTATACTGTAGTTGAGGCCTACCTGGACATCTTGCAGTCTGCAATTCACCATGCCGGATGTCCTACTGTACTGTAATTGACATGATGTCCACATCATCCATCAAGAACCGACTGGTCTATACACATATGTCTAGCCTTATATGCCTGATTTGCCACAGGTGTATAAAGAGATCTTTACTGTTTTTTTTTTAACATTCTTTACTGTAATAAATACTTGACTGTGCTTTGTCTGCTAGCATGGTGTGGATAGCAAAGCCACCAAAAGTGTCCCTTCTTCTGTGCTAAATTTGAAAGAGAAAGCCCTGGATATGACCTTTGAACTCCTGGTGGATGTCATAGGTCAGAGGTTTCTGCAGCAGATAGACCAGCAGGTGAGTGTGATAGACTGGCTGTAGTTTAATGTGTATGTTCTGATGAAGGCTCAATAGCCGCAAGGTTCACGTTTTGTTTGTATTTGTTATATTGTGAAGCTTGCTAATATACTTTTCGTTTGGGTTTATACCTTTTCTTGGCTGTGGTTTAGACTAGCATGTGAGTGTGATAGACTGGCTTTAGAGGTCAGCATGTGAGTGTGTGATAGAATGACTGTAGAGTAGGTCAGCATGTGAGTGTATGATAGACTGGCTGTAGTTTAGACTAGCATGTGAGTGTGTGATAGAATGACTGTAGAATAGACCAGCATGTGAGTGTGTGATAGACTGACTGTAGAATAGACTAGCATGTGAGTGTGTGATAGATTGACTGTAGAATAGACTAGCATGTGAGTGTGTGATAGACTGACTGTAGAATAGACTAGCATGTGAGTGTGTGATAGATTGACTGTAGAGTAGGTCAGCATGTGAGTGTGTGAGAGAATCACTGTAGAATAGACCAGCATGTGAGTGTGATAGAGTGGCTGTAGTTTAGACCAGCAAATAAGTCTGATAGACTTTCAGTAGAGTTAGACCAGCATGTGAGTATGATAGACTGGTTGTAGAGTAGACCAGCATGTGTGTGATAGAATAACCATAGACTAGACCAGTATGTGAGTGATAGACTGGCTGTTGTGTAGACCAACATGTCAGTAATAGAGGTTAGACAAGCAGATGAATGTCAAGTGGTTATGTTGTATTCATTTTTTGGACACACACACACACAAGCACCAATTTTTTAAATATTTTTTTATATATACATAATTTTATATTTCTCCTATCTCCTGAACAGATGACTCCTCAAAATGCTCATTTCATCAACCCAATAAATGAAGCAGAATTCCCTGGCATCAAAGATATTCTAAGCCGACTGAAGTCCTGGAACTGGATATATGGGAAGACACCAAAGTTTTCACTTCATCGAACATTTTCAGGGCATGAATTCCGAGGACATGTTTGCACATTAAACACTGAGATAAACATTGAGAAAGGGCATGTGGTGTCCATTTCTCTTCATCTGAATTATACAGATTTGGATTGGTTAGTGACAACATTAAATACATTTTATTCAGAAAATGTTCATAATCTGGCATTGGAGAACCAAAGCTTATCTCAACTTAAAGAGAAGTGCCTTACACATATAGAAACTCTTTTAAGCCTGGAGAACACAGAAGCTCTCTTCTGTTGCTAAATGGGTGGTTAAATGTGTAAATTCATGTTTTACTTTTGTGTGAGTGTATAAAACTTTTTTTTTTTTTACAAAACGAACACACCCAATTCGTTTTGATGTATGTCCCATACCATCTGAGTACAATACAAGAGGGAAACATAAGTCTGAAAAACTGAAGGCAGTTCAGCATGAGATGTCACCTAATGAAAGTAAACAAATGCAGAAATAATATCACAATGCACAAAAGCAACATACAGAAAGTAAGAAATGCAATCAGAGAAGACAAAAAAAAAACAATTCTAACAAAGCCAAGTGACGAAAGTGTGAAATGCAATCAAAGAAGACAAGAAACAATTCTGACAAAAGCCAAATGACAAAAGTGAGCAATGCAATTAGAGAAGACAAGAAACTATTTGTAATCAAGACATGTAACAAAGTAGAGCTTCTTCAACAACAGGGGGGGGGGGGAGGGGGGGGGGGAACAGAGAAATGTTCAGAGATGCAACAAAGAGGACAGAGATGCAACAAAGAGGACAGAGATGCAACAAAGAGGACAGAGATACAACAAAGAGGACAGAGATGCAACAAAGAGGACAGATATACAACAAAGAGGACAGAGATGCAACAAAGAGGTGTTGCGCGCTGATTTGGGTAAAGTGTGATATTGTGGGAAGGGGCAATGGTATGACTGTACTTCCTGGAAGTTCACGGGGGAAGAGTGTCAACAGGGCTGAGTATTAAGAGGAGACCAGTGAAAATGTCTATTCATGAGCAAGGCGTGCATGCACGGGGGAAAGTGGACGCGTGGGGGTCTGTGTGGTGGGCTGAAAGCGTGGATAACGAGATAAAGTGGGAATTAAGTGACAGCGTGATTCTCGGGTAACATCAGCCACCCACATAAGCGTGATCCTCGGGAACGCTCACATGAGCGAGTCCCGAGAACGCCCACAAGATCATGATTCACGAGAACGCCCACACTCGTGTAATCACCATCTACCTACACGGACTCGATATATATAAATTGGGCTGCGCTGTCAGTCGAAGCAGAAGCGAGAAGAGAGAGAAAACGAGAGTCAGAGACCAAGTCAGGGTCCAGGTAATCTCTCGAGTCTAACGGACAAACATACCGTACGACTATCGGGCATTTAGGTCCGAGTAAGTGTCGAGATTGCGGTACATGTCAAAAGTATGAGAGGACTTATGGTAGAAGTCCTGTCGGTCATTGGAGTCTAACCGACTAGAATACCGTACGACTGTCTAACCGACTAGAATACCGTACGACTATCAGGCATTTAGGTCTGAGTAAGTGTCGGGATTGCGGTATGGAAAATATGGTCCCGCTGGCAAAGTAAGTCCAGGGGACGGAAGGCCAGTAGTGCCTGGTTTCGGAGTACGGCAAGAGGAGGCCGTCTCCAGTCAGCCGTGTTGTATGCTGAATTAATATCAAGGTCCAGTGAATGGGAGAAGTCGTCCTGTTCAGCTGTACGACGCGTCCAGAGAGTGGGACGCCGTCATCCTGGTATCTGCAGTAGTCCAGGAGAGGTCACTACACATTAAGAGATAGAGAGCTGTGAGGACAAATGAACGATGTGCGACTGTCAGCTGTGATCAATAACTACGTCTCTGCATTTGTGTCATGTATCCTGTTAAATAAACTTATATGACGGTGTCATCGTCGTCGAGTTGTCTTGTTAAGAAAGGAAGCTGAAGAGTACCTGCTAGACACTTGGTAGTGTGCTGACTCAATTTAGCACACAACAGAGGACAGAGATGCAACAAAGAGGACAGAGGTACAACAAAGAGGACAGAGATACAACAAAGAGGACAGAGATGCAACAAAGAGGACAGAGATGCTACAAAAAGGACAGAGATACAACAAAGAGGACAGAGATGCAACAAAGAGGACAGATAGTACGGTTGAAGTTGAAGAGAAAGAACCTGAGCACTACTTATTAGAGGAAGTAAGAGCAGCAATACAAAATTTTAAAAAGTAAGAAGGAAAATTTCCAGGATGTAAAGGCATAAATGCAATGTTGAAACAAGCAGGGGGAGAAGCCAGTTTCAGTGTATATCATTCCCCGTATGGGTCCCAGGGCCCTATTATAGGGAAAACAAGAATAGACCCATTGCTTACCCAAAAGCATGTCGTAAGAGTCCACTAATTGGAAACTTCTTTCGAAGTCGGAGTGCATCTGCCTGAGAGTCAAGGAACCAACAGTCTGCATACAAATGAGTCAAATCTGTAAAATGGATGCACACACAACACTCAGGTTTTGGAACAGGACTGCAGTCCAGAAGTGGATGAACAATCAGAACTTTCCGCCAGATTTTACAGTTGGTGAACACAAGAAGAAGAAGTGTATATCATGCCCTGTATGTGTGAAAATCTGGAACAGTGCTGACTGGCACAAAGTGTAGAAAAGAACAGTTTAAATCAGTAATTCCCAAACTGCGCGCCGTGGTGCCCCGGGGAGCTGTGACCTCTTCACAGAGGCGCCGCAAAATATTCAAAGATACAGTTTTTTTCTTTTTTTTTCTATCTCTTACATACGAATAGTCATACTTTTGCTTAAGCTAGGGCGCGTGGAAAATTTGTTATTGAAAAAAAGGCGCTGCGACTAAGAAAAGTTTGGAAAACACTGGTCTAAATTCCTCTCCTGAAAAAAATTGAATCGAAAATGATGTACAAGTTATTGTACCGTAGCTCTGATCGGCCATGCCAGCAAATCATCCTGAAGAGGATTGAAGAATGTAAATTACAAGAAGCACAAGCAGGTTTAAAATACAGCAGAGGAACACGGGAATGAGAATCATCCTTGAGAAATGTAGAGAGTACAAGATACATGCTTCATAGACTGTGCAAGACTTTTGTCTGAGTTCATAGAAAACTCAGACATATAATGAGGTGCATGGGGTTCCCAACACACTTGGTAAATCTAATTGAATCCTTTTACCATGAACAACAAGCAGCAGTCAGAGTAGCTGGGGAAACATTTTGAGGTTTGAGGTGCAGAGAGGAGTGAGACAGGGCTGCATTCATTGTCCATCCATTTTTAACATATATGCTGAAAATATGAGAAATGCAATTAATGTTGAGACCTATGATAACTTTGATTCACTCATAGTTGGAGGCAAATCTATCCCAGAACTCTAATGTGCAGACCACACAGTTCTCCTTTTCAACAGGGCCTAGAAGATTTAATTTAGGCAGTCAAAAAGACCATTAAAGAAAAACATATTTTTCTGAATTCGAAAAGATAACAAAAAATATTGTTCGCATTGAATACAACACACCACTCACATTTTATAATCGATAATGACCAAATTGAAAATGTCTAAGATTTCAAATATTCAGGCTCACAAGTAAACAGCTATAAAGGCAACTGCACAATAAAGGTCAGAAAAAAAAGACTTGCTTTAGCAGTGCACAACTAAACAGCATGAATGCTACAGAAATATTCTTTGAGTACTGTTGTCCAAGAGGAAGAAAATATGGACTTCCTACATGATCTGTGCATTGAGCATCCAAAAGTTGAGGTATTTTGACCCTGTTAAATGTCACGAGGCAGAGGTAGACCTCTATAAAAGTTGATCAAGGCATTGAAGATGCATTGGCAATGAAAGCACACAGGTCTGTAGAATCGGGCAATGAAAGCGAGTGAGACTTTCAGGTGTGCCGAACCGAGAGTGATATTCTGTAAAGGACCTGCTGATTGGTTGGTGATGATGAGTGATTGTTTATATTAGTAATTTGTGTAAATGCGTGTATTAATCATTGTGTGATCATCTATCTGTTTGTAGAGAAAACAAAATACATGCATATGTCGTAATTGTAACAGACTCTGAAGGCATGCTGAGAAAGGTGAAGACAGGGATGCTTTGAGCAGAGTGGCAAGCTTCACTGGGAAGGTCATGAGTAGTGAGCATACTCTGGATCTTTTCTCCAGGCTAAGCCGGAGTGGTGGGTGATGAACAAGCAGACAGATTGGCTGGATCTGCACCACTGGGTGGTGAATTGATACATGACAAGGCAGATGTGGTCAAGGCCCTTTAGGAACAAGCAACAGAATCAGTTGAGAAAGAAGATTATTATGGCCTGGAGAGAATGAGTCACCTGGGTGTAACCAGAGGGTCTGGCTGGCTCAATACACTCAGAGAAAAAGCAAGACAGACATATAACCAGATTGTGACCGGTACCATCAGTATTGGAACTCTGCGCTGGCTGCTGAAGATCAGGACGAAGCATACATGGGAATGCCCTGAGTGCTGTGATGTCAATTCTTGACTCAGCTCAACTTAAATTATCTGTTTGTGGATTGTTTTTTCTATTAATAAATTCTGGGAAGGTTTATGTATAAGTTAATTTTATCTTTGGGTCGGTAGCAGTGCAGTGGCTAGTCGCTCACCTGCCGGCCCAAAGGTTAATGATTCAAATCTGCATTGAGGTGGGTTTTCCCCCTTCGAAATTGACCTCGTTGACCCAACTTAAAATGAGTACCAGCTAATGTCCTGGGAGTTAAAAATGCTGACCACATCACCAGTTGAATGCCGATTGGTCTAAAAAAAATTTAGATCTATAAGTTTCTTTATCAGTAAATTGAGTCATTATGTTTTAATTGAGCAAACGTTTATGTATTACTATATTGTGTGAATATTTATGTATTACTACATTGTGTGAATATTTATGTATTACTACATTGTGTGAATATTTATGTATTACTACATTGTGTGAATATTTATGTATTGATTCATTGTGTGAACATTTATGTATTAACAGATTATGTGAGCAGTTATGTTTTATCACATTGTGTAAACATTTATGTATTAACACATTGTGTGAACATGAATGTGTTATTAATTAATGTGATTGTTTATGTATTGGTAAATTATATTAATGTTCATGATTAGTAAATTGTGTGTATTTTTGTGCAATAGTAAATTGTGTCACTTTTTATATATCAGTAATGTGTTGTGTTAACATGCATGTATTATTAGATTGTGCATTTGTTTATGTATTGGGA